TTGGCTCACTGCAATCTCTGCTTCCCGGGTTGAAGTGATCCTCCTGCCTCAGCCTACCAAGTAGCTGGGATTACAGGTGCCCACCACCACACCTGGCTAATTTTTTGTATTTTTAGTAGAGACGAGGTTTCACCATGTTGGCCAGGCTGGTCTCCAACTCAGGTGATTCATCTGCCTCAGCCTCCCAAAGTGCTGGGATTACAGGCATGAGCCACTGCGCCTGGCCTGTGTCTTCTTTCATTCCATTGCTAGTGTTTATAGATCAAAGTGGGAAGAATTAACATTTTAAGAATATTAAACCTTCCAGTGCAAGGACATGCAATCCAGTTTACTTTATTTGATCTTTTCACAAAAGATTGTCTTTTTCCACATACAGATCTTATAATACTTTGTTAAGTTTATGTCACAGAATTACAATTTTTTCTTTGATATCTTTCTTTCTTGCTCTTCTATTTTTTCCTTTTGTGTGTGAGTGCTATTCTGTGCTAGTTTCCTAGGGCTGCTCTAACAAGGTACCACAAACTTGGTGGCTTAAACAGAAATTTATTGTCTTACAGTCCTGGAGGCCAGAAACCCAAAATCCAGGTGCTAGCAAGGTTGATTTCTTCTGAGGGCTGTGAGAGAAGGCTCTGTCTCATCCCTGTTTTACAGTTGCTGGCAGCTGCAGGTGTTCCCTGCCTTATAGATTGCCTTCTCCTTGTGTTTTCACATCTTCTCTCTGTGCCTGCGTCTGTCTCTACACACGCTGTTCTTTCTAATAGGACACCAGTCACATGGGATTAACGGCCTACCTTGTCATGTATAACCTCATTTTAGCTACTCATATCTGTAATGACCCTATTTCCAAACAAGGTCACATTATGAAGTACTGGGGGATTAGAACATCAATATACTTTTTTGAAAGCGGGGGAACACAATTCAATATATAATGTAAATGACATTTTTTGTATTGTAAATATCAAGTGTTCATTGCTGATATAGACACAAGCAACTGAATGTTATATGTTTACTTTGTGTCCTATGGTTTACAGTATTATTAGCTCCAGGACTTTTTTGTCAGTTCTTTGGGATTTTCTACATAGACAATCATGTCATCTATAAATAAAGACAGTGTTATTTCTCCTTCCCCAAAGTATAACTTCTATTTCCTTTTTCTAGCACTAGCTACAACTTCCAGTACAATAAAGAAGTGGTGAGGAAGGACTTTATTGCCATGTTCCTGATATTAGGGGTTAAGGGTTCAGTTTCTTATTATTAACTGAGATGTTAGTTGTAGGGTTTTTTTTTTAATGTTTTATTATCAAGTTAAGGAAGCCTCTCCTGTTTCTCCTTGTGTAGGTTTTAGTAAATTATGTCTTTCAAAAAATTGGTCCGTTTCTTCTAAGTGATCAAATGTAGCGGCTAGAGTTGTTCATAGTATTCCTTTTAATGTCCATAGATCAATAGTAATGATCCTTCTTTTATTTCTGGTATTGGTATTTTTTGTCTTTTCTTGGTTTTCATGGCTAGAGGTTTATCAATTTATTGATCTTTTCAAAGAAATAGCTTTTAATTTTATTGATTTTTCTCTACCATTTTTGCATTCAAAACATCCTTGATTCTTGCTCTAATATTTTTTTCTTCTGCTTGTTTTAGGAATAAATTACCCTTCTTTCTCTAGTTTTCTAAGATGAAAACCTAGGTTATTGATTCTAGATCTTTATGCCTTTCTTACATATACATTTAATGCTATGAATTTCTCTCAAAGCACTGCTTTTGCTGCATTCAACTAATTTTGATTAATAGTATTTTATTTTCATTTAGATCAAAATATTTAATTTCTATGAGACTTCTTTGACCAATGTACAATTTTGGCTTTTGTTGCTTAATTTCCAAATATTTAGGGATTTTCCAGCTCTTTCTGTTATTGATTTCTAGTTTCATTCCAATGTAGTTTGAAAACATACTCCAAAGGTTTTCCATTCTTTTAAAATTTAAGAAGAGTTTTATGGCCCTGAGTGTAGTCTGCCATGGTAAAGATGAATTTAGGAAGAATATGTACTCTGCTTTTTTTGGGTGGAGTATTCTATACATGTCAAATAAATAAAGCTAGTTATAAAGCTGTTCAGATCATCTATATCCTCACATATCTTCTCTGCCTGCTTAATCTACCAAGTACTGACAAAGGAATATTGAAGCCTCCAACTACATAATCAATGTGTCTTTTTCTCCTTTCAATTCTATCAGTTTTGGCTACACATTCTTTGATGCTCTGTTGCGAGATTTATAGATATGAAGGATTTTCATGTTTTAGGGTTTTATTTGCAGAATTAACCCATTTATCATTAAGTGATACTCCTCCTTATCTCTGATAATTTTCCATATTTTGAAATTTACTTTGCCTGAAACTAATATATCTACTTTAGCTTTCTTTTGGTTAATGTTAGAATAATGTATCTTGTTTCAGCTCTTTAACTTACCCGAGTGCTTAAATTTAGAGACCTGTGTCTTATTTTTAATCCACCCTGACAATCTCTGTCCTTTAATTATATGTAGACTATTCATATTAAAGTGACTATTGATGTGGTTGGATTAATATCTACCATGTTTGTAGCTGTTTTCTACTTGTTGCACTTTTTGTGTCTATCTCATCTCCTTTTCTGCCTACATTAGTTTTAGTTGACCATTTTATGTAAATTATTTTTTCTCCTCTCTTAGCATATCAATTATCCTTATTTATTTATTTATTTTGAGACAGAGTCTCACTCTTTCACCCAGGCTGGAGTGCAATGGTGCGATCTTGGCTCACTGTACCCTCTGCCTCCGGAGCCCCCAGATTGGGATAAGGCTCTGACTAACCATTTCCCCTTGCTGGTGGAGCCTTAGTTATGGAGAATACCCTGGATATATCTCAGAATGGTTACTTTTCCCCTCCCTTTGCCAAAGACAACAAGGAGATTTTCCTTGACTCTTCTATGTAAGAACCTGGTAGCATTCCTAGAGGTAAAGCCTACAAAAATATGGAGCCCCCTAAGACTGCAGTCCTAGGAATTTCCCACCCTCACCCCAGTCCATACTCAGCTTCCAGCAATCCAACAACATTACTAGTTACATGCTCCTACCTCATGGCGCCAGTGACGTCTGGTCCAGATAAGCAGATCTGGGTGCTGCATCTTTCTAGAGCTCTGACGGATTGAAAAGAGGTTTTTGAGTTTTCGCTTTTTTAGCTCTTTTCTTGTTGGAAGGATGGGAGTAATGACTTTCAAACTCTTTACATTTTGAAGCTGAAACTAGAAATCCTGGATATATTTTTTAAGGTTAAAAAAAACAGGCTTCCAGTCATGCTGGATATGGAGGTGAGAAAAAAGAAATTGATTGGAAGTTTTTAGTTATAATGATCAAAAGTTGTATTCACTGTACACAATGTTTGTGGTCTATGAGCATTACCTAGTGTTGGAAAAACAGTCCATTACATGTTATGCCTCAGCTTGCTTCTGAATTCAGAGGCCCTGAGCAGTTAAGCTGGTATTATTTCCATTACGAGGTGGCACAGCAAACACTGTGTGCTTCTGGGTTCAGAATTACTTTGCCCTTCAGAGTTACCCAAGGGAAATCTTGAGAAAAATACCTTCTAAATGGGTAATTTTAACAGTGCTGTGTTATAAATATATCCTTGGCTCCAAGTCAGGCACTCGGCAGCTTTTAGCAGCTACTGGGTCTGAGATGCTTTCTCTGCTGTTTGAAGCTTACTGTCTCCATGTTATGGACAACAGCCTGCAGCCCCAGGGATGCCAAGGTCCTGGCAAACTTTGGGAATGAACATTTAGTGGAGGAGGCTTACACCCAACCCTATTAGGAGCTGCTTGCCCACTTATAGGGCAACGGCACAAACAGGTCTGGATTTTAATCCAGGCTCTGGACTAAGATATAACTTCTTCGCCTGTGTTTTGGATCTGTAACGTGGGCATAGTCATAATTGTGTCTTGTATGTGTGTGTGTGTGTGTGTGTGCCACAGGGTCTCACTGTCACCCAGGTTGGAGTGCAACCTCTGCTTCCTAGGTTCAGCCTCCTGAGTAGCTGGGACTACAGGCATGTGCCACCAATGCCCCGTTAATTTTTGTGTTTTTTGTAGAGACGGGATTTCATCATGTTGCCCAGGCTGGTCTTGAACTCCTGAGCTCAAAGCAATCTGCCTGCCTCAGTCTCCCAACGTGCTGGGATTACAGGCGTGAGCCACCACGTCTGGCCATAATTGTGTCTTAATGATCATGAAATTTAACCCTGATGCATGTCATATAAGTGCCCAATCAATACACACTTGTCATTTGGGTTGCTCACTGCTGCCAGCTTCATGGTTTTATAGAAGTTCTTTTATGGTGCTCCTGAGAGGGCGTGGGCTGGGAAAGGTAGAAGAGGTGACGGTGTGAAGCTGCTCCTTGGGGACTTCTGGGTCCACCCACGAGTGGATGCCCTGCAGAAACTGAGAAGGGGATGGGTGAGAGGACAAGTGGCCTCACAGAATCCAGGGTCCCTGTAGCACCCTAAACACCAAATGGACAATGAAGGCCCAAGCGGGAGATGCTGGCTGGCACCCTGACTGCGTGCTTCTGGCGTGCCCATTAGGAGAGAGGAGAGCAGAGGATCCTGCAAAGACACCTTTTTATCCCTGGGGGAACCATGCATTCACTGAGAAATGAGAGTTGTTCTTCCAGAATTCTGTCCTCCTGACAGGTAACATAACTGTCATGTGAGTGACAGATTTCATTTTTGCAGATGTAACACCACATAGGAGCCACGTGGTGTTATAGTGCAGATACCTATCATGTGCATATCGGGAGTTTGTGAAGCATATACACTGGGCATGGCTGAAATCCAGAGTTCAGTGAAAGAAAATAAAAAGAAAATAAAAAGTTAATGGAAAATGTATAATGTGAATATTGACCCAACAGACCTCTAAAAATATAAGCTCCATTTCTTACCAAGAATTCTCTTTGCTCTTTGGAGATGGCATGGCAACGACATCTCATGCTCACATGAGCGGCCCCACTGTTCTGTGAGCTCTGGTGTTGTAATTCCTTACTGCTTGCACCACCGCTATGAAGAGGCCCTTTACTGTCCACATTCTGTATAAAAGGAAACAGATCCCGAGAGGTCAGGGTCACCCAGCAAGCAAGTACGGAGAAAAGATTCTGCCGTCTGGCCTCTGGATGGGAGCTCTTCACCTCCACACTACAGGCCACCATGTGGTCTGGCATTGGCCTGGGTGCCAGGCAGCGCCCTGTGCAATCTCTGGCCCTGCCATAGCCAGTTATGTAAAGTCTTAGAGACTCAGTTTGCTCATCTGTCACATGTGGAAAGAGGTAGCATTCATCTCCTAGGATTGCTGTGAGAGTCAAAACTGAAATATTCAGCAGAGCTGGCCCTTAGTAAATGGCTAACAAGTGGTACTTCTTCTTACAAGAAGTGAGAGCCTGAGTTGTATGTTCAAAACTGTCATCACTCTTGCTCTTCGTGAGTGCAGCCAGGACAAACACAGCCAGGGCATCAGTGGTGCATGTGGAGCCTATTAGAAATAAACAAGAGGCATAAGTCTGGTAACAGAGGCACACCTCTTTCTGCCTGAGCAAGGCAGGTCTTCATGGTTCTCATCAACCCAAGGCTCTGGCTCCCCACCTTTCAAAGCTGTCACCCAAGTTTACGAAGCTCTTTTTATTTTCACCTATGCCATCAATGAATCATCCCCAGCTTTTCTCAAGAAATCCGCCATTGGGTGCGACGTTGCTATGAGACTCTCAAGTAGACACACAAATGAGGCCACCAAGCTGAGTGGCAGGCTTGGGATGATTAAAACCACTGTCTCCCTGAGTGTTTTAAAAAGAGCAAATTGTAAAAACTCACCACCTTCCTCACACCAAGCCTGGAAATTACATCAAGAGCTGATCAGGGGATGGATTCTCAGGACCTACAGGAAAATTTAGAAAATCTCAAGGAAAAAGCTCATCATGCTGGGCTAAAAACATAGAAAATAGCCCCATTAAAGTTTTTTTTGAGAGCATGACAAGGAATTAATGAGTCAACCAAGGGTGTCTTGCAGATGTGTTCAAAACACAAGCCAGTACCAGGAAATACTAGGTGGGAGCCATGTAGCCTGAGACTCTTCAGATCATGTAAGAGAAGTGCTAGCTTATTGCCAGTTGATCTCTGATGACAGCCAAGCCCTGCATGATAAGTCACAGATATCCCCATGAGAGACGCAAAAGCTTTTTTAAAAAATCTTTAATTTAAAAAATGTAATCCATATATCCCTTATTATAAGAAAAATAAGGTTCTTTTTAAAAAAAATATATGAGCGTCCTAAGTTTTTCATGAGTTCCAAGGGTTTTGTTTGTTTGGTTGGTTGGTTTTTGTTTCTGTTTTTTCATAAGAGCCAGTAAGACCAGGGTGTGATTAGAACTGGCAGGTGTGCAGCTCTTCCAAGACGTGGCTTCTGCTGGAAAGCCGGTACCACTCCGGATGCAGAGCCAGGAACACGAAGAAAGTGGACAGTGTGATGAAGGCATCCCCCAAATCCCTAAAGACACAGCACAAAAGTCTGCCCCATAATTATTTCTGCCTGCTTCCAGGGTATAGGAAAATCATGTCTCAATATCTGGAAGACAGCTGGCCTAAACGCTAGTTTATAAATAAATACGTATATTTAAAATTATATGTATGTGCGCACACATATGTGCATGTATGTGGATGGATGGATGGATGGATGGATGGATGGATGGATGGATGGATGGATTCATGGATAGATGGTTAGATATAAAACATAAAGCTGGCATTTTTAGAAGCTGGGAATACAAGAGCCAGGTATGCTGGATCTAAAGGCAAAAACCACGAGAGCAAACTTAGATTTAATCAAAGCCAAGGTTCACAGAGGATCTGGTAAAGAATGGTCCCAGAAACCTGAGAAGCACCCTTATACAGCTGACTCAAAACAGGGGTGTGGCCCCAGAGCTACAGAGAACACCGGAGAAGCCAGATTCTGGGGTCTCAAACTCAAATGCCTGCAGGGTCGGGGCAGACTCTGAACTGGAAGGGAGATGCTTCACAGCTCTGGGATGGCCATTGCTCCATCCAAAGGACAGATCTTCCCATCTTTAAAGAAAAGAAAGGAAGGTAGCTTTTACAATCTATCCGTTTTTAAATGTTGGCTGAATTTGTAAAAGGGAAGGGGACACACAAAACTCTTATGCAATTCATACCCATTTCCACAGCAGGTATTAACTGCGCTCCTCATGGTGTCACTGGAACCCGGCAGGCACCTGAAGCTGACCGCAGAGCCCCTGGTCTGGTGGAAGTAAAGAAAGTCGTTGCTTCCATAACATGTGGGTGCTGGCCAGGCGTGCAGGGCGGGGACCCCGGCAGGGATGAAGAAAGGCAGGCCTCCCCAAGGACATGCAGGGGCCAGCAGGGCAGGGCTGGGAGAACTGAGGCCACCCCGTGGCCACTGAGGAGGATCTGGGGGCTTGGGAACTGAGGGAGCCTCTGAGCTGAGATGGGATCCTTTCTTTCCCACCCCAAATCACGCCTCCCTAAACTTCTTAGACACAGGCAGTCCTGCTTCCGGGGAGATCCCCAGGTCCTTTTGTTCACATGCTGGACCCATCTGTCTCTCTTTTCACTTGTCATTTTTGTAAGACATCAGAGCTTTATTTGTCCTTTTCATTCAAACACATTTTCCAAAACTATCACTTATTTTTAAATTTTGTTCCTGGCTTCTTTCTGCAATGAATGTTCATATAGACTGTGATGTGCGTTTCTATCACCCCATAACTTTTCAGTTTTCTTTGTTAACAATGTCTCCTCACCCTTAAAATTGCTTTTACAATTTTTAGTGATTTTTTAAGCATATGTCCTTAATCCAACTGCAATTTATTTTTGGATTCGGTCTGACATAGTGGTCCAACGTTATATTTTTCCAGATGGACAACCGGGAAGTTGTGCCAGCATCACTTTTCAGACAAGCCAACTTTTCTAAATAAAATGTCGATTCTACTTTTATCATGAATTTAATTTTCTTATGTATTAGAACCTATTTCTGGATCCTCTATTCTATTAATTAATTCATATGTTCCTATACTAAAGCAATATTGGTTTGATTACTTTCAGTGTGTAGTGTAAATTTTCTTCACTAATGTTCGCATTGTTTTCCAGGAAATTTTCAGGCTTCCTCCCTCCCCCTGCAATATGATCATTTAATTCTACTCCAAAAGAAATCCTGTTGGGATTGCAATTTTGACACACGTGATCTTTTTACGACATCATGCGTTCCCGCCCAAGAACACACTTGCTCATTCCATCTACTCAAGGCTCATTCACCAGAGTCCTGACAGTGCTGAGGCCTGCACCTGCAGAGCCCCGGAGCCCTCCACCCCCGGGAGGGAACCGAATCCCAGTGGGGAGCGAGGAGAGCCGGTGCAGCCCTTCCTTTCACAACCCCTGCAGCTTGCCTGGCCTGAGAGGGGGTCATCGGATGCACTGCGCTAATTGCTCACCAGGTCCAGGCGCCAGATCCCGTGGATGACTGCGAAGAGAGGCACGGAGCACCTCTGAAGCCCAGGAGCATCCCAGTCCACCAGCTCACCATGACCACCACCCTCACGCTCACACACACTCACAGCCTCATACAGTCAGTTACACACTCTCACACACACATTCTCACTCACATGCCCTCACACAAACACACACAGCCTCACACACATATGCTCACACGTTTACTCACATACATACACTCACACACATACTTTCATACACACTGACCCAATACACTCACACACCTACACACATTCACTCACACTCACACAATACCCTCAAACACATACTCTCATACGCTCACACACATACCCTTTTACACACACACACTTGCAGACACAATACACTCACAAACTCACACACACCCACACACATATTCACTCACACACATCCTTACACAGACCTACACTCTCACATACACACACACACACACACACTTGCAGACCCAATACACTCACACATGCCCACACACAAATTCACTCACACACACCTTCACACTCTTACACACTCACAAATACACACTCTCAAGCACTCACACTCTCACACATATGCTCACACACACTCTCATATACATACCCACACACATTCACACTCACACACAGGCACTCACACACATACCCAACACAAACACACACTCACAAATACACATTCACATCCCCCACCCCCACTCAAACACATATATACACACATACTCACATGCACTACACACACATTCTCCCACTCCCACTCAAACACAAATATAAACATACACAAGTGCACACTTACACACACCTGCACACTCTCACACACCCACTACACACACACACATTCCCCACTCACACTCAAGCATAAATACACACAGATACACACACACACACACTCCCATACACTCATATGCTTGTACACACAGACACACAGTCCCCACATTCACACAAAGACATTCACACATACCATATACACAATCACACCCCCACACACACTCAGGCACATGCACACATACACATTCACATAGCCCCACACTCACGCACATAAACACACACTCGCACTCACACGCATACATACACACTGACTGAATCTTGGAATTCAAAACTCAGACACCAGTCCCTTTTCCTTAAAGCCATTATCCCTAGAGAAATGAAAGGTTCTCAGGATGAATAGCATTTCCCAGCACATTGTAAATTCCCTCAATGTGAGTGACTTCATCAGGCCCCATTGTGAGAGGAGCTTGCTAGAGAGAGAGAAACGGTCATGGGAAGCGGAGGCAGGACCTGGAGTCCCTGTGGGAAGTTCTGAAAGCAGATGTCTAGGCAAAAAGAAATGAGGAGATGAAGGTCTGTGGCATCGAGAACAAATCGAGTCAATCTCCTGATTTGGTGGCCTCCACCCTGTCCGCTGGATGCTTGCCCACATTTACTGTAATCGTTCTTTCATAACAGAAGGCAACGTGCTTTTCCTTAAAAGGCCAGATAAGTAGATATTTTAGGCTCTCAGGGCCAAGAGGGAATATGGAGGACTGTGCATAGTTACATATACAACCATTTCAAATTTCACCAAAGGCAAAAACCATTCTCAGCTTGCCAGCTGCAAGAAAACAGGCAGCTGGCCAAACTTGGCCCATGGCCTGTAGTTTGATGATGCTTGCTCTAGAACCTCCCCCAGATATTGTTTATGGAATTCCAGAAACCAGTGCTGCCGTCCCACTAAAATGTTGATAAGCATCTGTGCACATAAAAACTTGATTTCTGTAAACAGTTCCATACACACTACACATCGGCATTATACATTGAAAAAGACAGCCTGAACCTGATCATATTGACCCAGAATGGCCAAGTCATATAGTCCAGTAAAATTACTAGACTTAAAAAATATATTTGGACATCGACACAAACAAGCAAGTGCTTTATAGCTTTGTAAGGGGAAATATAGTATTAGCATCAGGCTTTTTGACAGCAATGGTTTAGCCATAAGAAAATGGAGTAGCATTTAAAATATGAAAGAAAATATGAGCCTAAGGTTTAGAGCCAACAAACTGACTTCCATACATAAATGGCACAGAAAAACTGTTACCAGCATGTGTGAGCCCTTCCTGAGGAACTTGCTAAGGAATTAACTTCAGAAAAACAAAATGTCTAGTGAGGCACCAATAAAGGTACTGGTTGCAAGCTTTAAATAGTTACTTGAATAACTAAGTCTAATAATGTGGATTAAAAGGGAGAGAGCATGGTATGTATTGCTCTGTGCTCTGGCAAAATAGATACAATGTTACCGAAAATGGGACCAAAATGGGTACAACATCCGCAAAACAATTTAATGCTTTCATTAATGATACTGGCAGTGATAGCATTTGCATTGTTACTCTGAGACTTTTATAAGGTGGAATGAACAAACAAGCAATTATGGGATATTTTATCATTTCCGTGTCATTGAGAACCAGGGTTCTTAATCCGAAGAAAGAAGATTTAAATGTAGCCTGGGAGAAGCTTGGTAAACACCCTCGAGTTTAAGTTCTATTTTGAATCCAATGGGTCAGCATGCACACAGAACATTTTGCACAGGGGCAGAACTCCCTGCATTGTGCTTCACCTTTACTGCACTTCTCAGACACTGCCCTTTCACAAACGGAAGGTTTGTGGAAACTATAAACTATACTGTCTAGGGATTCATATAAGAGGATAAAACTGTAAAGCAATACAAGAAAATTTTTACTATAAAATTCAGGGGAGGCCAGAAGTGGTGGCTCATTCCTATAATCCCAGCATTTGGGATGTCAACACAGAGAGATTACTTGAGGCCGGGAGTTTGAGACCAGCCTGGGCAACATAGCAAGACCCCATCTCTACAAAAAAATTAAAATTAAAAAATCAACTGGGAGTGGTGGTATGTGCCTATAGTACCAGCTACTCAGGAGGCTGAAGCAGGAGGATCACTTGAGCCAAAGAGGTCAAGGCTGCAGTGATCTATGATCATGCTACTGCACTCCAGCCTGGGCAAAAGAATGTGACTTTGTCTTTAAAATAAATAAATAAGAAGGAAAGCCAGAGGAGTGTTACTTCAGGGAGATTTGGTATGATTGGATGGAGAAACTCCATGAAGGCTAGGAAAGCACCGTTTTTGACCTGGGTGTTGGTTTTAAGTGCGCTCACATTATAAGTAAGTGATCTAGGCATGCGTTTCGTGCTGTTTTGGTAGAGCTCCTATATTTTACAATAAAAGTTCTTAACAGGAAAAAATTAAAACAAACCCAGTAAATTTCAAAGTTACCTTCCCCTTCAAAGAGGAAATTTGTTTTTATGTACAAATTAGGGCTAAGACTTCAGAAAACAAAAGAGGATAAAAAGTCAGGATGTGGCTTTGGAGGAAGAATGCAAAGCAAAAATAATTAGCACAATTTATATCAAGCCATGTAAAGATAATTTCTTACTGAACCAATGTCATGATATTGAGGGTTAAGATACATATATAGTTAATGTGAGGTGCTTACAGTCAAAGTAGTTAATTAACTTAAGCAAAAAGAATAGTGTGAGATTTGAAGTTTCTAACTACGTAGAGTGATACATTTCAAATATCAGACTCAACCACATTTTAAAAGTCAGAGTAGTCTGGGCATGGTGGCTCACATCTGTAATCCCAGCACTTCGGGAGGCCAAGACAGGTGGATTGCATGAGGCCAGAAGTTCAAGACCAGCCTGGCCAACATGAATAACCCCACCTCTACTAGAAACACAAAAATTATCCAGGTGTGGTGGTGTGCACCTGTAGTCCTAGCTACTGGGGAG